GAGGGAGGGAGGGGGGAGGAGGGGGGAGGATTTCAAGCGCGGAGCAATTCACTTCACTCAGAGCGCAAGAACGCACCGAGTCAGTGAAGGGACCAGAGAAACCCACATATCCACCTCTTTTGCTTCATATTGTTGCAGCCTGGTTATTCTCTATTATTTTTTATCTTTTTAAACAACAACAACAACAACAAATCAACTACTTTACCGGAAATGTTGGTAGAAGTTTTTTTCCTCCTTCTCTCCTGCATGTTGCTGAAACCCGTGAGTATATTTAAACACTTTGACTTTTCTCATGACTTCAAACTTGGGCTCGTTTTCAAGAATGCAACGATTGCTCGCCTGAGTTGGCCATGTAAGGTTGACCACGTCGTTTGATATCCTACAAGTAGCCTATAAGTTGATGCGCACGCAGCAACCCCAAAGCCAGTTTATGGATGCGGGACGCACCGATGTGTCCCAGTGTGAAGCCACTGGTCGACGTGTGGATGAGCAGGGAGGCTGTGGAGAGAGAGGGATCTCATCAGGGGTGTATCAAGGGAAATGCTTAGTTCTAGTTTGATAAGGCTTTGGTCATCATGTGTTTTGTTATTGCAGAAATTTAAAAACAAATAGTATTTCAACCTGAGCTTATCTTTCCTTTTTTTCTTTAAAAAAAAAAACAAAAAACATTTTAAAGTGGAGAATCCCTGAGACTTCCTCCAACATCATCACAACATGTGTCCTCACATGTGCAGCCTCCTCTCTCCAGGTTCAGCCTCTGCTTCCTGTGTCAGTCTCTTCAGATCCTCAGGCAAATCCAGCAGCATTTTAAATCACATTTGGCACCGAACAAAGCAGTGGAGCCACGCTCTTGATTGTTTTTCAGTGACAGTCATGTGTTTTATTTCCTCGCTGATCTCTTTTCACGATCAACGTTAAGGTGAATTGCCCGTAGAAGCCATGAGGTACTCGCTGATCTCCCATCAGGACACCATGGCAACGGCCTCTTTTGTCCGTCTCTGTGCTCTGTGGTCTCCAGCGTCTTTATCCGCTACTGTCTCTTGTAGACAAGCATGTATGATTCATACTGGAATTCAGTTGGAGGTCAAATCCCTTAGAATAGCACGCTGGCTTTTACATCTGCATGTGTCCTCACTCACAGACTGTTTCAGTGCCTCAGTGATAAAAAAATAAAGTGAGGGAAAAGATGGTAAGTGTTGTTGCTGGTGGGGAGCGTGAAAGGGATGATGATGATGACCATCATGATGATGGAGAGCAGGAAGTTTTCTCCTGATACTCCAACTCGTACACTGATCCATCACTGACAACATATGCTCCAGTCACAGTCCAGCTGTGCACCGTAGGTGAAGTAACACAGGACGTCCCGGGTAGCCCGAGGAGTGAGATAAATCATAACTCATATGCGGGAGTCACCTTGTGTGGGGGGAGGAGAGGCTGGAGTCATATGGGCTCATTTTGTGGCTAACAATAGCCACGGACTACCAGTCTGATTAATGCCTATAGTGAGGAGACTCATCCAACTAAGTAACAGCCATAAATCTTCTGGTCGTGCAGAGGCTCTGCATGTTCCATGGTGGTAAACCCTCATTGATTCAGCTTCACGTTGAAGAGTCACGCCTGAAGATTCCCTCCAGTTTCAAAACATGCAAATCTAAAGGATGTGGCAGATGAATCGCAGATAAAAGATTGATCATGTGTGTCAGTTAGAGAGATTAATGGGAGCCCATGTCAGCTCATCTGAGGAAAACCACAGTGGAGATGATAGATGTGTTGGCCTTGAAATGTGAACCACAGCTGAGAAAGCAGAGGCTGTATGACAAACAGACAAATGATCTGTGACTGACACTGTTTGAAATGTGACTGTGACCCAAGAGATACATGGAAAACATGTATGAAATCTTCTCTTCACAGGTGTTTTCGGTGCAGAATCAGATGTGCGACATGAAGAGGGAAATAGAGAAGGAGAGAGGCATGTGTGAAGCTCAGATTGAGAACAGAACAACAGGTATGTCGTTTTTTTTTTTTTATTATTATTATTTTATCCTGGCTGCACATTCTGTCTCTTCTAAATTTGCTCAGTTCACAAACTTGGGCTCCGATCGAAGTGACACAACAAGCTCTAAAAACAACAAAAGCTGTTCAGACCTCCTCCTCTGGCTTTACATTACACCTTGCATGGTTGAACACTGTTTACCGCCCAAAGCCAGCCCCTTGTCACATGTGCTCTGCTTCAGTTTTAAAGTAAACTTTCAAAGTGATCACATTTTTTATCATTTATTAATTTACACTAACTGCTATGAAGAACTAAGATTACTGCCTCACGCCTGTATGCAGGAAGTGTGATCACAGTCTCTCCTTCCTGAGTTACAGTAATGAAGTGTTCAATAATGAAACTAAGCTGGTTTGTTGTTTCAATTTATTGTTGATGAGGCTTAATTTACATGTTGCTACTCACATGATGCAGCACATAATTATATTCTACAGATAATTGTGCTTCATTTAGCCTCTACTACCCATGTGTGTGTGTGTGTGTGTGTGTGTGTGTGTGTGTGTGTGTGTGTGTGTGTGTGTGTGTGTGTGTGTGTAACTGAAACCTTGTTGATCTTAACTGCAGGTATCACGAAACTGTGTTTACTTTCACACGATGTAAAAGTCATTAAACAGTCATTATATTTTTGAGTCACGCCATAGATTCCTCGGGGTGATGTCACTCACATCACTTGGCAAACTTTTCACTGCGGCGAGATGATGAGCAGGTGCTGTGACCTGCTCCTGTGTCCTGAGACCAAACACGCTGTGGAAAGTCACAGCGATCTATTGCATTCAAATAACAGTGTGTAACGAAGGGCAGGGAGCTGTTTTATTAGTCATGTTGGCAGCGTGTTAACTCAGGTCAGCTGCTGTTATGAACCCAGAGCTGTAACGACAGCTGACCTGAGCTTACACGTTTTGGCTGCCATGGGAACTTCAGGGCGCCACCTCCACCTTAATCAGGGTTGCTATTTGCCACTGGAATTGATTAATGTTACAACACTTTCTGTTCAAAAGTTTGTGTTTCATGCTCGTTCTCTTTGATTTTATGGTATTTCCAAGTTTGACAAACAGAAATAAGATTTTTTTTTTCCCTCCCCTCTCTCTCTGGCGCTCTTTCTCTCCATCAGGTTGCAGTGGGACGTGGGACAAGATCACCTGCTGGCCCAGTGCTGACATCGGAGAGGTGGTTACCATTCCTTGCCCAAAATTTCTCTTCTACTTCTCCAGTGATGCCCTAACACGTAAGAATCGAGTTTACATAGTAGGTTGTGGATGTGTGAAAGACAGGGAAAGGAAAGCAAGGAAGTGACTGTCACTAATCTACTGAGTTTGTGGGGCAGAATAGTTCAGACGTTGCATGTAAAAGTCCATATTAATCCCTCAATCAGATATACTGAAACAGTTACACCTATGCAAAATACAAAATAAGTAAATTAACGGTCAGTGACAAACTTGTGGAGTGAAAAATGGGTTAATAAGACACGTCTGTGTTCAGACCAAAAACCGGAATTATGACATACACTGAGCTTGTACTCATGATGTCATTCTCGGCCATGACCACCTGTTGTTTCCATTTTTCCTGACACCCCATTTCATATATCACAAAGAATATAATAAAACTCAAAACACATGGCACACCTGAGTCACAAAAGATAAACTACTACTTCCCAATTGCTGGAACATCCACTCATTAAAGACACATTCTGTTTATTTGTTCTCCTTTAATCTATTAGAAGCCTTGCAGGGAAGTACTACTTTACTAATTATGTGTAAGGGAAACCACTCTTGAGAATTTACTGGCTTATTTGCCGTGTGTTTGTACAGTACTTCCTGTGATTATTCCCCTCTGACTTTCCCGTATATCTCCATTTCTCATTAATAACCACACTGAGTCTCCTCAGTGTAATTATCCTGAAAGAGTTATGTTATGTATCCGTATTCAGCTGGGAGAGACGCCTCAATATCAAACTGGAGACTTGAGAAATAACTTGAGAAACAACATGAGAAACAGGTTGAAGCAGATTGAAAGACACAAAAAAAAAATAAAAATAAAAAAAATAAAAAAAGATCTGTGTAATTTATGGTAAATCCTGGCAGCCATGGCCGCGTGACAATAGTGTTCTTATAATGTTGACATGACCAGTTCTACTCTTCCTCAAAATTACTTCCTACCTTGACCCTAACCATCCTAATGCACTCGTGCCTCAATTTAACCAATCAAACCAGCGAAGGCAACGACCATTAGCCAATCAGAGGCAGTGTAGGGCGGGTCATGTCAACTCTATGGTAAGGGTCGTTTACATCCGGCTGCTGTAGCATCGATAGCTAATCGAAGGTTAAAATGACAATGGAGGAAAAACGTCTTTTCTATTTGTTTATTTTTTTTGGCAAACCACCTGCTAAAGAGAGCACAGGTGACGTCCAGCCTTCCTAGGAGAGCAGCTCCACCAGAATTATATCGTTTTCGTTTGGTTGTAATTTTTCCTCGGAGACGGAGACTGCCGCCGACGCCGCGCGCCAGTGTAAAACCGTTAGCACCGCCATTATTGAGGAGCCTGTTGCTAACAGGTGTCAGGCTACGACTGAGTTGGCGGCATTTGAGGAGCATCTCCAGCCACCCAGCTTCAATTTTCCGGTCAGACGTTTAGGGAAAGAAATAGTCAGCCGTTTATTTAGCTGCACCTGCTTGGTTTTCTAAATGGAAGTGGCTTCATTATGTGGCGGAGTGTGGTCAGGTTGTGTGTTTTGCTTGTGTGAAGAGGCAGCAGAAGGATTCAGTTGTCAATCATTTTTAACATCACACTGATATACCTTACCTTACCTGAGCTTTTGGATATGTGTAATGCAACGTTACGACATTCTTGTGAACTATTATTGTGCAATAGCATTTCACTGAGTCTTGACCTGACTGCTGCTGTTGTTACTGCTGCTGCTTTTTTGGTCTGTGTTGCAGAAATATTGCTGTAGGCCTTTGTTGTATTTGTATGGGTTGGGGTGAAATGCTCCTCTCACTACAGCACCCCCTATTTAAAAACATCTTCCCGCGGCCCTGTTGGCACCTGAGGTTGCCAGAACTTCACCTTTAAAAAAAAAAAATGGTGACATTGTATAAACATTTCTGTTTCTGGCAACCATAAATTCATACTTGAGAACTGTTGTTTATTTATGGCAAATTACTTTGAAATAACATGTATTGTAAACGTATTTTATTAATTTTATTTTCAAAATAACAGCTATTAATGAACCAGTTTATTGTTGTTTCACTAAACAATTAAAAAAAAACAGAAAACCTGTCAGTGACAAACACATTACAACTCTGATATTTTATGGTATTTTATTATAAACTTCAGTTTAAGGAAATTACTCTGGCTGCTGTTAACGGGTTAGAGAGGACACGCTGCCTCACGTGAAATATATTTCGATGTCTCGCCTATTTTTCAAGTGGCGCTTGCGGTTCCCAGCAAAAATAGACGGTATAAGACCTGTTGATAGTCACGCTGACATCATACCAGCAACATTACATAAAACTGACACCTTTTACTACAGTTTCAACGTCTAGGCTGAATCTGAATATGACACAGACGTGAAAAATATAATATATCATTTTTTTGTGGTACCCCAGTGAGCTGTTGGGAGTGGACTGTCATGCCAATCCCCTGGAACAGAAAAGCCCACTCCTCCATGAGAGGTTGCAGATCTGTTCCCTCGTTTATTTCTTAACGTTAGGACGTTTTTACCTTGTCTGGGCTGAAGTTAGTTTGTTCACTGAGCACCTTGATTTTGTCTTTCTTCTAATGTTTGCCTTCTGGTTTCTCACTCACTCGCATGAATTTTGTGTCCCGCTTTATGCAGCCATGAGTCCTGAACAGCTGCTGCCCTTTGTTTGCCTGAGATTTCCTCCGTGTCAAACTCATCTGAGCCTCATTTGCATTTCATTTTCAATTCGGGCTTGTAGCTGCTTGACTAGTGAGTGATGTCCTAGCCCCACCACATTACCTTCTATGATATCTTGCAGTGACTACGGATACTTGGCAACCATTTTTTTTTTTTGCCAGCATCTGTGGAGGCCTGTTTACTGGGAGAAACAATCATCATGTAAGGAATCATTTCTCGCCATAACTGTGAGCTTGGCCTTTTCCCTCGTCTCCCAACACTGCATCAAGGCTTGGGGAAACTGCTCCCATTGAATCTGGAAGCTGTCAACCTGATCTGCATCAGCTGAGTAGCTGGAGAGGTTAATGCCTGTGGATTTCAATGCTCTGTACTTTAAAACAGAGTTAATGAAATTAACATTGCATTTGCTGATGTTTTGTCCTTGGTTATGCTTAGAAATTCTTTTGAAATATATTTACTTTATATTTTCTTTTAGAGGATTGGTCTCACCACTGAAAACAGATCAAAACTGGATGAATAGAAAATCCTCAGTGGTCTCCATCCCCAGAGTGATTGTTGTGTCTCCTACAATACTTAGAATTGAGGCTGGCAGCACCTTACTAATGGCTTTGCTCTGCATCATCAATTTCTGTGAATGAAAGAGTGACTGAAGCCCAACGCATTCGGTAGTGTGACCACACACAGTGGAACGCTTTGGTATCCATATTTCATGTAAGATGGCAATCAATCAAGCCACCGATGTTCAGACACTGCATATCTTCATTGATTTTTTGGACTGAGTACAGATAGTACTGAGGAAGTAATTATGCACATACACACTGACACCAGGAAATGAACAGTGTCCTTTTTTTAAAAAAAAAAAAAGTCTGACCGCATCTTGAATGGCTCCACTGTACAGCACCGAGTAAAATGGAGAACCACCTTTAACGGGCAAAACAGCTTGACCTGTTGACCCTGCTGAATGAAAAGCCTGCAACATCTCATGTCTTTTGCAGAGAGTAAGGCAGATATGCAGCCCGAGGCACAGAGATGTTTTGAGCACATATCATGCACATCCGCAATGTCTTTCAGCTGCAGGGTCAACTGTCACACATGCAGACTTGGCTTTACAAACATGAAAGTGTTTCAAAGAATTGAATACTGACTTGAACTTTACTCTTTCCACATCTGGTGTATCTTGAATCTGGAGGTGATCAACAGCAGAATTGTAGCTCTCAATGGTGCGCCATGTTAACCTGAGTGTATGTTACCTACCCGGCACTGAGTGGCAGACAGATAAGGTTAGTGACTAGCTCCTGTAGTGCTTTAGGACTAGCACAATGTGGCATTTAGTGGCTGAAGAGACAGATATATTTTGTCAGTGGTTGTTGGAGACCAAAAGAAAGTGAATATTGGACTTGGTGTAAATGTTGCTTTATGTAAGCTTGATGTGTAAATATTTTCACTGCATAATAACAATTTCACAATCTCAACCAACAGATGTCCCCAAGCCTTTGCTGTCCTTTGAACAAGTGTAAAGTTACAGATTTCACCTGTAAGTGATTACCCTGCCAGTACGTTCAACCTGTGGGCCTCTGCAGACCTGGCGGAGGGGTTCCTGCCAATGTAATCCAGCCAGGGTTTTCCCCATCATATTCAGGACATTAGAGTAACTCAACCAATGATTTATCAACTGTGTGTGAAGGCTCCATGTGGAGAAAAGGGTTTTCCTGGAAGCTGTGATGTGACCCAGATGGGAGATAGTGTGACCTGAGAGAGGAGAGAGTTCTCCTGGGAAAAGAGAGAGACAGATGAAGAATCATCAGATTTGTTGGGCCAGAGGAAGAAGATGTATATTTCACTGACATGTCAAAGGTTCACAGGATCTTCGACCCCTTGTATGAACCGAAGTGGCCGTAACAGAAAGAGGGGGGATTATAAGTGATCTCCTGCACTGATGTGCATGATATCAATTATGCAGTAAATCAGCAAATCAGTACAGGCCTCAGCTGGTTAAACCTGCTCTGCTCTCAGGTCACGTAAGGAGGACTTAATTAAGGGATGATAAACGGTCTGGGATTCTGTGCATTGTAAATTACTGTTGTGGACGGGGAAGAACCCTCTATCTCCTAATGTGAGCAAAACAACCTTGTTTGAGCACCAGCTTGACTGCTGTGCTTTTTCCAGTTTATTCATTTTTATTTAGGCTACAGAACTTTGAGAGGGGTTGAGAAATATGATGTTTACTTTTCAAGAAGTTAACCTTTTTTGTGAAAGTATTTCAGTTTCAAAAAAGTAAATTGAGCTTCTTTTCAAATGTCTTCACTGTCAGTAACAGTTGTGAAAGACTCAGGTTATTGACACATCTTGAGCCATTCATTTTATAAGCTTCATGCACAAAAAAACAAGCATTACGAAACATGGCGCCACAGAGATTCAGAGCCAAGTCATAAATTTAGTTGAGATAGAGTTTGCCATTCTCATGAACTCTTTACCTAGTAGGTCTAACACAAACACAGTCATTCATCTCTTTTAATAACACAGGCGACTCGCTCTCTCTGCAGGCTGAGAGTGACAGAGTGCCTGCATGTGAATGGCTTCACCTACATGCCATAATATTCATTTGAGCCGAGGCTATTCATCGCACGCTAATATGAATCTTCCTCCGAGATATAATTAGGCAGGATAAAGCATTTGACTGTACAACACTGACAGAAAAGCCAAGATAAAAAAAGCCTGGAAATCAAAACGATGATGGGGTGATTAACTCGTTTGAGCTCTCCTCGTTGTCGTGCATGACACTGAAAATCCTTGCAGTCATGTTTTGGGGGATGATGAAAGCATTCTTCTGGCAATCCCTCAAACAAGCCAAATCCAGTGGTGGCATGGGCTGAAACAGCAGCGGCTTATCAGCGCCTTTGTGTCTTGTCATGTTGTTTGAGGTGGCTAAGCCTCCGTCTTCTCTGCAATACGCCACTCAGGTATTTGTGAGCTGACCATATTTTAATGCCAAACACATTCTAAGACTTTGGATTGTTGGTCATTTCCCAACACAGGCTTGATTTGATAGTGCTGCGGAGCGATATGGTTGGGAAATGTGAGGAATGTCCTACATTTATATTTCTACAGCAGCATTCAGCACACGGATTAATTTGTCGCCAACACACGCAGCGTCCTTTCTTATATTTACAGAAAAGGAGATGAAGAAACACTACAAATAAATATTACACAATACGTGATTGCACAAAATCAGAGAAATATCACTCTCGGGTTTTCAGTCTAATTAATGATTAGTGCCTCGTCTGAATAGTGATGCATTCATTGTCGTTTAGGAAAATTCTGCCTTTGTATAAAAGCCTGAAAACTCTTATGTCACTCTAAATCTTGCCCAACATCTGCATATGTAACACTTCTGAAGTAAGTAAACATGACCTAAATATTTAATGCATTTTGAAAGGATTTGATTTGGATGAATTAAGTATTTGTGTGCACTCAAGTCAATTTCACGCCCGAATCCTTCATTCACTCATTTTTGCATTTATTGACAGGTATTAGACACAGACAAGAAACATGGGCAGAGAGAGTGGTGTGACATTCAGCAAAGGTCTGAGACTGACACTCATCAGGGACATTTTTGTTTAATGATACGCATCTTAGATTATTGTATATCAGTGGTTCAACTGATATACTTCTACTGAAATAGTTCTCGCCACACAGTGCGGTTTATTCCAGCCAGTTTCTTAAAAAAATTCTTAAAAAGCGTGCAACAGAGTACAAAAAATACCAGTGAGCCAATTAAATATAAACTATAAAATGTTAAATAATCCGAACAATAATAATTTCTGTTATTGTAAAATGTGGTGATTGTGCTGCTGCCATTTACTGAGATGTAACTGTATTTAATATAATTCAAGGAAGAATAATACAAATCCATTCACTTATTTATTCACTTTTCTGTTTTTGAATTTATTCATTTAATCTGTGCCATTTGTTCTTCTCCACTCTAGTGAGGGCAAGTCTACTCTACTCTACTCTACTCTACTCTACTCTACTCTACAGAGCTACAATCTGAGCTCTAGAAAGTTTAACCATACTCTGCAAAACTCTACTTGGGTCTGTTCTACTCTACTCTATCGGGCTCTACCTTGCTGTACTGAGCTCTACTGTAGTAACCTAAGCTCTGCAGAGCTCTAGTCTGCTGTACTGAGCTCTACTGTACTTTACCAAACTCTACTCTTCTCTGCTGAGCTCAAGTCTACTGTACTGTGCTGCACTGCACTCTAGAGAGCTCTAGTCTGCTGTACTCTACTATACAGAGCTCTACTCTGCCCCTCTAATCTCCTCTCAGATGGTCAGTCTAATGCACTTGGACCTTTCACTTCTGCCCCCATGGGCAGGCCACAGTAAAAATATCTCTCTGCTCAACTGCTGCCCTCCTTGTGTCTGTGTGTGTGTGCGTGCGTGCGTGTGTGCAGCCTGACAGTAATTAGGAAACAGATGGAGGCAAATACACATGGGAACGTCCCGGCATCTCTGAGCCGGTGGGACGACTGATCCCCTTCAGTCATTCCTTCCATTTCCTTTTAGTATTTGGGAGTATTCCAGCGAGACACATTCATCTCAGTGTGATATAATTAAGTGTGAGTAAATGAAGAGGAAGTTTTGCCTTGCAGCTCATGCAGTTTCCCTCCCAACACACATACACACAATGTTGCAGTGCATATTTTAAATGAAAACACATTAAAGCTGCCACAGCAATGAATTGTATTCTTATAAGAGTAATGTTGATTATTTCCTCTGCTCATTAGGTAACCTGTCAAAGACCTGCGCTGAGGATGGCTGGACTCCAGTCAGCATCGACTCCTACATAATGGACTGTGGATACAATCCCAACAGCACCATGGATGATGATACGGTCAGTGCGGCATTTTGAAACCCCTTCAGCCCCACGTTACTGCTGCTGTGGTGGCTCCACGTTAAATGTCAAACTCTGTCCAAATGAAATGTTTTCTGTTGGTGTAACTCAAGGTGTTTTTCGCAGGGAGAATTCTTCAACGCCATCAAAGTGGGTTACACCATCGGTCACAGCGTGTCGCTCATTTCTCTGACGATCGCCATCATCATATTGTGTCTCTTTCGGTAAGGAGATCCATCAAAATACCACTTAATGTGTCTGCGTAAAGATGATCAAACACCTTTCCTCATCATTTAGAACAATAAAATCTCTCATTTCACACCATACTTCCTGCATTTTATAGAGATATTTCAGTGTTTCCACACAGTAATGTGACTCTGCCAGATTTTGTGGGACATCCAAATTTGACATTATCTTTTCTCAAACAAAGCGGTCAACTGCAAACAGCCATAAAGTGAAACCACTCAAGACGGGCTGCTGTCGTTCACCGCTTGTTCTCCTCTGACCTTCAGTCCTGAGGTTGCACAGAGAAAGTGTGTGTGTGTGTGTGTGTGCACGTGACACGGCACTGATCATTATTGTAAGTGGCTGGTGTGTGCAACTTCTCACAAACAACCCACTCTGTTCAGTTGGGTGTGTTTGCATGTGGACTGTTTTTGTGTTACGAGCTAAACAACAAGGGATGTGTTTACTCCTCGGGCTTATGAAATGCCAATGGATTGAACTCTGCAGAAGAGACACAGGATGTGAACAACGTTTGCTGTTTATGTTCAGCTGCAGAGACGGTGTTCAGGCAGCTGGTTGATGTTGTGTGTCATCGCACCCGTCCTTCTGGGATGACTCGCCTGATGGGTTTACACAATTCACCCCCGATCATAAGCTCACCGGGAAAGCATTTGTTTGAAAACACCCAGAAGAGAAAATTTACATTAGTGACATTTTCTCAGCGAAACCCCCTGATTTGTTCTTGTTTACCTCTGTGCTGAATGTCAAGTCAGAGTTTTTTTTTTTTTTTACATTTTTTGTCTCTGCCTTATAAATATATGTTCCACTGACAGATAACCATATAAAGTATGGAACAGATATAGATAGCCTGACATTTAGATAACAGCACAGCACAGTACAGTAGGAGCACATTACAGGGCAATAGTCATGTGCATTAAGTGCGTATGATGACTACTCTCCTCAGCTAAAATTCACATTCTTTCTGTGACTGTTTGCTCCCGTAAATTAAGCCAGTGAAGTTTCTGGTGAATGTTTTCTTGATATTTATTCCAATTTTATGCTTTGGTGCCATAAACACTCACTTTATCAGATGATTTTCAGGGTAGGTCACGTAAACAGGACATTGAAGGTCTTTAATCAGGGGGAATTCATTAAGAGAATTATGCGTGATGCGTTTCCTTTTTGATTTAAATCATCTTACGGTTTATTTGTCTGTTTTTTTGTTTTTTTTTTGCAGGAAGCTTCACTGCACGAGAAACTACATCCACATGCATCTCTTTGTGTCTTTCATACTGAAAGCTCTGGCTGTTTTCATCAAGGACATGGTTCTGTACGATGATGTGGAGACAGAAAGTTGCCAGTCATCTGTGAGTGAGCCGTACACTCTCCCCTCTCTGTGCTGCCGTCTCACTCACCCACAAGTCGCATAATTTATTGATTCTCTTCTTCTGCTTAATCAAAACTCCTGCAATCGTAGATCAAGTTAACTCTTCCATCTGATGTACAAGCAGTAGTCGGCTCTAAGTTTCTGCCCCCAAACTGCATATGTTTAATTACTCACGCAGACTTTACTGACTTTAAAGCTTTGTCTCAGGGTTTACTTATCGTGCCTCTGGGTGTGGCGGTGTTTGCCAGGTCCCTTCCACTCCTAAATCGACGTTTCCCCATTCATGTGTCCAGCAGGATGTTGTGAGAGATCCTGTTTGCTGAACGTAAAGCTGAACTACAGACAGCTTTGTCGATAAATCACATTCAGAAATTTGGTAACTACTTTTAATCACTTTGGTTCAACGACATGATCGTAGCGACAACATCATAAGTGCTAATGTAAGATAAGGAGTTAGATAAACTTCTAGATTTAGTACAGTTTCATATAATGAGGCTATTTTGTTTTTATTTGATCGATCAAGTCGCCAGTGTTTGTTGGTGTTTTCTCTCAGATCTTGCTCCAGCTGAATCCACTGTTTTATCACCAGAGAGGATTAGATCAGCAGACTGTAAATCACCTTTACTATCTCTAAGTGCTGACTGTTAATGGCTTCCCTTAAATGTCTCCTCTTCAGGGTACACAGATTGCCCGGGTCCAAACACAGCTGCTAACTCTCTCAACTGTTTTTAAAGTCAATTTAGAAGACGAAAAATAAGCTCTTGTAGAAAGCAACACGTAACAGGCGAGTGGTTTTATAGAGAGCTGTAGTGAAACTTGAAAACCTCATTTAAAAACTTTTGCAAGAATGTAAATTCCTGATTCTCCAACTTGGAACAAAATCTTACTCTGTGTGGTCCATTTATTTTGTTGTGTGTAGACACGTTTCGATTGCAGAGATTACAACTAAAACGTTATAAATTGCATGAGAGGACAGTGTTAGTGGATATGCAAGAAATCAAGTTACACTGATGCGAGTAGAGTGTTTGCTTCAATGCTGGTGAACTGTAGTTTTTTTTTTATTAGCTTTGTTAAGATCAAGTGCTCGAGACCAGTGGTTTTCAACCTTGTCCAACTCGTGACCCACTTCATACAATAAAACAATATGGAGGCCACATGATACGTTCTTAGAGCATTTTTTATTTCAATAACAATTGAACATTAGTACTGAACTGAAAGCAGGAGAAGCTAAAATTTTCCTTTTTGTTTGATTGGTAGAGATCACGTGTCGATTCCTTTCCTTTTAATTCTTGCTGTTGTTACCCAGCTATCCGTCTTGATTCTGCAGTTTTTACCATGGATATAATCTTTTACTGCACAATCAAACTGAGATAGCAAACAACTATACAATGTGGTCTGGCAGTAAAGCGACGGCATAAAAGTTCCTATCATTGGCTTATCACAGTGACAGGCCTTAATACGAAAAAAAACAAAACGAGTTTTTCAAGATCATTTTGTTTTAAAACATTTTATAATACTGATCTACAATGAGTGCCTCATATTTACGGAAGCGTAACACTAACTCAGACTATCTAACTTTTGAAAGAAGAAATAAAACCATTTTCCTCCTACAAATGTTAAATTCATGAGAAGTAAAAGACACGCCTTTGCCGTGGCAAATATTAACTATTGTTAAAAAGAGTAAACTTAGAGCTACTCAGTAACGTTTGCGGAGCAGACATTGTGATGCATCAGTCTGCTACTCACCGTGTGTCTGTGATGTTACACATGCAGAGCCGCCCCTACTGTGGGGATCTTGAATCTCAAATATATTTTGGCTGAAGATTTAATTAGTCGAGGAGCGCATTAGTGTGATCAGCATGATCATACCCCATGCATAGTTTTCTCTAATTATCTTATGTGCTAATGACTCTATGACTCTCCTCACTGCCGCTTTTGATGGGAGACTTGCCAATAGAACAGTTTTCTTATAAGTCAGTCATCAGTACTAATTTCAGAGTAATTTACTAAAAACATTCTAGTGTAGCCTCGTCCACTGGCAACAAGATTCGTCGTAATCAATTTGACTTGTGATAGAAATGCATTTATCTACATTCACCGGCGGTGCCACTAACTTTCTGGTCGTTCTGTAGGTGGGCTGCAAGGCAGTGGTGGTCTTCTTCCAGTATGGGATCATGGCGAGTTACTTCTGGCTGCTGGTGGAGGGCCTCTATCTCCACGCTCTGTTAGCCGTCTCCTTCTTCTCTGAGAGGAAGTACTTCTGGTGGTACATCCTGATTGGTTGGGGTACGTGCTGGCTACTGTGCCATATGTTGATGAATACAGATAGCTCACACACGCTCATTTTCAAGGACATTTGATCCGTCCATTTGTCTGAAGTGGAAGCCAGAAATCATCAAATACAATCATGGGGGCTACCTGAATCTCTGTTTTGTCTTTACTACAACAGCCACAACATACATGATCATATGTAAATTAATTTAGAAGTGAGGTTTCATACGTGCAGTAGCTATGGGAAAAAGCTGTGCCTTCCCATCTGCATATGAATGAGAGGTCCTGCTGCCAGTTTTAGATTAGCAGCAGCAGGCAGCTGCCACTCTAAGCTTGTGTCTACAATTCAGCCTCAGAACCCTGTCATGCTTTTGATGCTTTTGATAAAGAAAAAAGCTCATTTAACAAATTCCTGCATCAATAGCTAACATAGTTTGTGAATTAAATGAATTCCTGAGATGGGACAATGAAGACTTGAACTGTAAATATTTTCCTAATGGATAGATGTTTCCATTTGGCAGCGAGGATGCTCTTTTGAGCTTTCATTGCTCCTTGATTGGGGCTAGTCATTTCTCTGCCACTCCATACACCTCATTACTGCTGGCTTTCATCATATTTGTAAGGGTTTGCCACCAAAAACGTTTGTGTACATATATTCATACAGAATTAATCTTAAAACTATTTTTGCCCAATACTTTATTTGTTCAATTACTTCTTTTGGCCTCTTGGTCCTAAAATCCAGCAACCTCTCCCCAAAAGTCTGATGTTCCTTTTTCCATCACACCAATAAAGTAAATCTAAAAATAGGCCTGAGATGTTGTGTCTGCCAGCAGAAAAAATGGAAACAAGCGTGTGACTTTCCTGCAGATACCCTGGATGAGCCAATATTGGCACAGAGCAAATATATCAGTGAGTCCTGTTAAAAATGATAAGCATAGCCAAAATGTAATATTACTTTAGCTATAAAATCATCCAAAAGATTAACAGTGTACACACGCTCACTGTCATATTTGGTTGTGTTAAAGCACAGTGGACATCACTGATATCTGTGACATCAAGATTATTTTAATGTTGAAATGACTTACAAATTCTGTTTGGATGTTCTTTGTAGGGGCTCCAACCATCTTTATCTCATCCTGGGTGATTGCAAAGGTTTATTTAAATGATCATGGGTGAGTTAATCATTTGTCTTTGATTAAATCTTGTTGTGAAGTGAAGTGATCACCCTTACCATCTTTAATTTAGATTAGGAGGGGTTAATTTCAGGGTTTTCCCCTGACAGGAAGACATACGACTGCAAATGCACGTTTACTCAAAGGAATAATATCTTGGTTAGTGTGATGATTAATAGCTGGTCTCAGTGGAGGTCTTTGGCTCATAATTAATCAGCAACATGCAAAGAAATGACCTCAGACAAGAGCCTGAGTGTTTCATGATATTACCCTACAAAGCCAAAATCCATATTTGTTTAAAATTAGTAAAGGCCAGACTTTTTTAAAAACTATGTAGTGTTGCACTATGTAAAAAATATTACAGTATACATATGTAATGTGTGAAAAAGAAAGAAAAAAGCACTGGTTTGAAAGTGTGTGTGGGCTCTAGACCGTTCCAGACAGCTAAAGCAAAAGAGCTAACTAGGATGGAGCTAGCTAGCAAGATAGCAACAGCCAGGCAATTTACACACTTCTTCCTACCTGTTTTTCTGTGATTGATGTTTGTAATTAGGTATGTACCCCACATGAATCAGGCAGTAGCTAAACCTCATCATGGAGTAAAAAAAAAATACAGTGAAACTAGTCCTACTAAAACTTAACTAGCCTAACGTTAGTTTAGCAGATTAGCTCCTCAGCTTCTGACTACAGTGAAACTAGTATGTAATTTAATGTAGTTAAGCTACTTTAAAATCACATTTAAATGTGTGTGGATGAAAAATATTACAGTATGTGTTAATAATGTGTTATTTCCTTAAAAAAAAAACACTGGCTTGAAAGTCTCTGAGCTCTAGACCCTACCAAACAGCTAAAGACAGAGCGCTAATTAAGTGTGAGCTAGTTAGTGAGATAGCCACAGCTAGGCTGAGCAAAATTTACATACTTTTTACCTACCTTATTTCAGGGATCGGTGTTAGTAATTCAGTATGGTATCCCAAAAAAATTAGGCAGTAGCTAAATCTCATCATGGAGTAAAGAAAAACACAAGTGCAACTCATCCTGCTAAAACTGGCTAGCCTAATTTTATTTTAGCAGATTATCACCTTAGCCTCTGATTCTAGTAGAATTCATATAATATAGCGTGGTTAAGCTACTTTTAAAATAACATGTTTAAATGTATTACATTATAAATACATTTTTTATACTAGTTCATTAATTCAAATGCACAAGCTTTTAAGAAAGCTTTGTTAGGATTCATGTTTTCTTTAAGTTATTAAAACTTTTAAAACCTTTTTCTCAACGTCTTTCTCGATTGTTTCTGTAGTTAATGTACTCACTACTCACATTTAAAGCGAGATTATTCATTCAGATTTTTTTATCTCTTCTGACAGATGCTGGGAGACAATTGATTACGGTCCATGGTGGATCATCAAAACACCTATTTTAGTCACCATACTTGTGAGTCACGGTGCCTCCTCATGAGAACCATTTCTGCAGCTCTGTGCAATGCAATCACATTGACCCGTCTGTTACATCTCTCGGCAGGTGAACTTCTTCCTTTTCATTTGTATAATCCGGATTTTGCGACAGAAGATGAACTGCCCCGACATCGGAAGAAAGGAATCCAATCAGTACTCGTAGGTTTTCGCTGCAAAATGTCAACATCTCCATCTTAGCATGGGTTACAGACATTTCATATCAGGTGATAAGTAATAAATTGTTTTTCTGCCATTATATTCTTGGTGATGAGCAATGATAGCTATTGCATAGTGACTCTAGCTTTGGGGGGGTTTAAGAAGGATGATCAAGCCTTCTCTTCACTTATTCTTTTTTCCACTTTTCTAGGAGACTGGCGAAATCCACCCTGTTGTTGATACCTCTCTTTGGTATCAACTACATCATTTTTGCATTCATTCCTGACCATATCCACCCACAAGTCAGGATGGTGTTCGATCTTATTCTGGGGTCATTTCAGGTAACACTGCATGACAGCATACAAAGTGTGAGGCAGCCTGTCAGCCCTTTCCAAATGTCAGAAGCTGTACTACTTAGTGATGAATTATGGGATTTGATGTACCTAATCCGTCTTTTGACTTTTACAGGATTGTCATCTTGTGTCTTAGGCAAAACCAGTGACATAAGTATGGCAGCAGATAGACAGCAAAAGTGAAAGTCCTTTGCTTCAGTAAAGTTACATGAAAACAGCTTGGTATCACAGAATCAGGTTGTCTGATTAAGCGAATGAATGGTTTGTATAGCTAAGATGTTTAATTTTGCATGGTTGAATAATGAGGTTGCTGACTTGCTGAGTATTAAAGTGTATGTAAACGCTGAGAGCCAAGTGAAATTATGGAAACCTAGCAATGGAAAGTAATCTTAATTTATAGCCGTTGTAGCTCAGAATGATATCTCCTGGGAGAATTTCCCAGAGATTTAAATGATGAACCTCCCTGTCTGAGCCTGAAGTTGGTCATACTCTTACCATCATTATTCATACACAAACACTTGGAGTTTTTCCCCAGCTGTACTATCACACTGGTATTTCTTTATAAGAGCTCTTATCGGACGGTACATTTATCTGCTTCTCTCGTCAACAGGGTTTTGTTGTTGCAGTTCTGTACTGCTTTTTGAACGGAGAGGTGAGTGAGATAAAAAAAAAAAAAACAGTTTTTCAAGAAGTTTACTTTTTTAAGATGTTTACTGTCCTTTTTAAGTCATTAAATCTCAATTCATACCCCACCCCCACCCCTGGTGTGTCATACCCTCTTAACTCCCCCTCTTCATCCTGTTTGTCAACCTCCTCGTCTCTCCTACAGGTGCAGTCAGAGATTAAGCGTAAGTGGCGCAGATGGATGCTGCAGAGGTTCCTGGGTGCTGACACTAAGTACCAGCAGCCCTCCATAGGCAGCAACGGCAACAACTTCAGCACCCAGATCACCATGTTGACCAAATGCAGCCCAACTACACGCCGGGCGTCCGAGTGTCAGGAGCACCTCTCTGCCATCTGAAAGCCAAGTTAATGCTCCTCTCTCTCTTTTTATCATTATGTTCTGAATGTGTGGCTCACATGCACTGGTGCAATGCAAATGATATTAGTTACTGAAGGTTAATATAACATTTTAGTATTGACACTGATATTTGTTCATTGTGATTTTATCAATTGCCTTTGCATGAAGAATTAATAGCCCAAAAAAAACTGAACAGTTTCAGTTTCAGTAGCTCTGATCACGCTGACGTGCTGCAGTGTAACACTTTGGTGAGTCAACCTGAAGTTAATATTTACAAGTTGTTAAAAATAGATCGTCACATGTCCCTGAATGCAGCAGGGGAAAAAGATCTTCAAGATGACAATATGAGTTAAAAGGAAATGGGACTCCTGGCCAGCATTTCCCATCTGATGTTAAGCAATAGATGGACAGAGCTGGAGACGAGCTGCGTCCTATAAGAAACAACATGTTTATGAGAAGGGTAGGTTACACAAGCACTTAAACTAATGGCTGTGTTGCTTAAGGGACCAGTGGTAACAACAGTAGTGAGAGTGTCAGGCTGTCATGAGCAACAGTCACAGTGGAGGAATCTATAGAATAACCAAGGTCCTGGACGTTCCTATCTGGTGTATGACAGTTTTACACAGGACACACACTCTGCTGAATTACTGCCGGATAACATTCCAGAGGAGAGAATAAAACTCCCGCTTGTGAAATTTATCTCAGATTACAAAAGGCTTTTAGTTTCATTTGAGTGCACAGTCGCTTAACAGACATTCCTTTTTACTGTTTCTGAAACTAATGGACCAGATGTATTCTGTTATTAGTCCACTATACACAACATTGTGAATTGATATGTGGCAATAACAATTAACTTCCATTAACTGGACTGCATGAACAATTCATTTCATTAGATTGAGTTTCAGTATTCTATTCTATTCTATTCTATTCTATTCTATATTGACAGGTTAAATATATATGTTATATCGTATTGTTTTTAGCCATACTAGCACCTTTATTTTTATGGATGGTATTGTAAGTTGGCTGGTACATCACATAGGTCCAGACTGAAATTTCTGAACATCTGTTTTATAGATTACCATGATATTTTGTACAGACATTCATGATTCCTAGTAGATGAATCCTAAGGACTTTGGTGAACCCCTGACTTTTCCTCTAGCGCTCGATGAGCTTCACATCTGTGGTTTGTTTGAGTAAAAAGTCACACATCTACTGGATGGATTGCCATGAAATTTAGTTCATTCATGTTCCAAACCTGGATGAACTGTAACAATTATCAGGTAAAAATCTTATTTTATCCAGAATTGTCTTAATAAACACGTTGAAAACATCCCCATCACCCTTAGCTGTACTTAGTGTTTAGTGCTAATTAGAAAACGCTAGCATGTTAACACACTAAACTAAGAAGGTGAACAGTGCAAACATAGCAACAATACCGCTTTAAGCATACATTATATCTGTTTATATATATTGCCTTTAGCATTCGACTCAAAGCACAGCCTCAGAGATGCTGGCCAAACATTTATTTGAAGCCACCTTTTCATCAGAAAAGCGACAGTTTCATATTTCATGTCAGAGTCATGCTGGAGTTCGGTGTTTACTTCCCCCTTTTGTTCTTGTTGTTCTCAGTGTGTAAAACTGAACTGAAACTAACTGAAAGTACCTCAGACTAAATGTCGCACACAGCTATTGTATATAATGTGAAACTGTAAATATGGCTAATGAATTGGTTTATGAAATGTATTTTATGGTGATGACTTACAGTGCTCAGGTGTCAACTGGAAATCGATGTTTACATTTAAAATGTATCTCTCCCTCATGTTATTTGCCTAATGTTAATGATGGTGATGCAGTGTGTCTCATTTGTTGCCATGTAAATTTTGTGTAAATATTGTGTACTGTATAGTATGTGGAATCAGCTGTAAATATGTTATTGGTGAAAATGTCCGATGAAAATGAATAAAACCATTTGCACTGTGAAGTGGCCTTTTGTGTCGTTACAAATGGAAGTGAACAGAATCAACCTTCATCTTTATTTCTGTTTAAATAAAGCAAACGGGTAGTAAAGAAAATTTATGAAACAATATAATAAAAACAGATGTACAAATCAACATTTCAGCTTTTTATAAAAGAAATTTGGTGTGATATGATAATTTGCCCATTTCCTGCAGCCCTATTTAGCCTTAGCATGTATCTGTCTCCCCCTGCTGTAAAACACTAGATAAAACAATTTAATGCTGATTTCATAACACAAAATCAAATTCAATTGTTACCCTAACATTATGGACCCTTAGCTGATTTTGGGCCGATGTCCATAATGAGTACACTCATTCACTTCAATGCTAATGTTCCATCAGTAACCACGTGGCAGTTCAACTCAGTTATAACTTGGTGAGACGCAGAGTGTTGAGACGCACTGGGAGAACAGTGGATCCCTCTGCATAGCTGATCTCTCGCAAAATCCCGTTCCAGCATTTCTCTGCCTCCTCATACCTGTGGGAAAGATACATGTGTTAGTGTTTGGTGCCATGTGGCATGATAAGATAGCATGCAGTAATAATAAATGTAACCTCAATGCCTTTCGTGTACAGAGAATGATTTCATATGAAAAGAATTTTTTTTAGACCCAAACTAATTTTTGGTATATATGTTTACGTATAGAAGTTGTATAGATCTTTTTTCCACTGCAGAAATTTGGACTTGTCAAAGGAAAAGCACATTAATACCAACGTTAACTGACATACAGCCATAATTGTAATGTGTCATAAGTCTCGTTTTATTATATATTCCTTATTGTCAACAATCCCTGTGAAAAGGCCAAAACCAACAAAACATTGTCTGTCTCCCAGGACTTCACCCAGTCTTTGGCACTTGAACTCAGTTGTTCCCCCTAAAAATATAGATCTTTAAAAACAGGTCACAATAATTTTTCTTTATATTCTAAAAAAAAATAGTAACGCTACACAAAAATGCCCTTACATCTGCTTACAACTTTGTTATAATGTGTTCTTCATTAAATGTTCGTATACTGTTTGGAAGTGTTCAGTTGGAGGACTTAAATTACAGTGTAACCCAGGTAATTTAGTGGACTGTTACCTCCAGATGTCAGTCATCTCTGTTGGGACTGGCTCTTCACTGGTCTCACTGGGCATCATGGCAAAGCCCCCCACAGCGTACAGGAAGCCTCCCAAAGAGAGGAGATTAAGGGAGCTGCGCTCCTGAGGGAACTCTGTGAACTCCGACCACCTGGAGCACAACAGGACAGGGAAGTGATGATGGTGTTAAACAAGCTACTATATTACTGTATGACACCCACATCAGTACAATGAGTGCTGTTTTATGACCTAATGATCTGCTATTCATGCTTGGTGAGTCATTTCACTTATGTGGACAGATGCTTCACCTCATAACGGTTAGATAAAGTGGATCATATAAAAAAAAAAAACACAGTTGTCTCACTTGTTGGTGGCAATGTCATAGACCTCAACAGAGCTGGTGAGGCCTTCGTCTGTGACCCCCGTCACCACGTAAATCTGGTCTTTGTGAACGGTGACACCAAACAGGGAGCGGGCCGTCTTCAGAGGAGCCAGGTCCTTCCACTCAAACTTAGTAGGATTATAGACGCAGACTCTTCTCATGCATTTCCTGCATAAAAACATGTAATACAGTGTGTTAAAGGGGCACTCCGCTGATTTCAAGTTCAGTTGACCTGTCAATACTACTCAGACTGTCAGCTGTGTATTGCTTAAATGTAAGTTTTTTTTTAAATGATGATATCAGGATAAAAGTCTGTCAGGATATCTGTTCTGCTGCTTTGATTTTTACCATTCTACTCTTTTTATTTTTTGCTGTTACAAAATGAAGATTAGAGCGAACTATGGTACCTCAAAGTTGTTTTTTTTTAAACCAATAACTGATAAAATAAATTAATTTAAAAATGTGCTACTTTGCAGTGATGCAGCTGCATGTCTCTGGTCAGCAGCCAGCACTCAGAAGTCTGAAGCAATGTCCCGCCCACTGCGCCATCTGATTGGTTACACGTCACGAGTAACAGCCTATCACGCTGAAGGCTGCTGTGGGACGGACACGGACTAGAGCGGCTCCAGTTAACGAGCGGAGCTTTGTGTCGAAGGTAAGACAGCAGACAACACTAAAGACAAACATCACAGTCGTCTACACTGAAGTTACAACAACACCACACTCTGATGAACAAGTTCCTCTGTTGATCCGAGACACACCGAGCAAGAGAGAGAGAGAGAGAGAAGCTAGCGCTAACTGCTAAGCTAATGTAACTAGCTGATATGAACAGCATGTAAACAACTGCTGAATTAGTGAAAGTCGCTTAAAGGAGCAGAGAGCTCCGGGTGCTGGAGCAGAACTAGTGTGAGTTTAAATGTACAGGAGGTAGTCAGTCACTGTGATGAAAAAAGGGGAAGCATCACTTGTGATAAAATAGAGTAGCAATAAACACTTTTATGAGAAACTCCTGCAACTGCAGATGAGACACTACACTGACTGCAGCACGTGACTAACAACTGTTACTGAAAAGACATTTTACTACATTAGAAGTAAAATATGTCAAAATGTTCTCAGATAAAAGTACAAAGAAAGTCAGTTAAAATGTAAACATGTTACGTTTTAAAAGGGGAAAACATCTTATTTATTTATTTATTTCTCTTATTTTGTGATAAAAAGAAATAAAAGTAATGATAATTTATGATAAAACTATTAAATTAAAGAGCATCTTTAGGCTACCAGGTGTATCAGTTAACAGGTGAAGAACAGCACCGAAATTAACCAAGTAATTCCAGTCAGGCTCTTTGCAGTCTGTGCATACACCTATTGATATACACTCAGTTGTCTGTTTGTTAGGAACATGTGGCTAAAACTGATGTAGAATAATACAACAGTCCTGAAGTAAATCCTCCTTCATGAAGGTTATAATGTTCAACTGTATGATCGTTATGGAGGATGTAGTGTGTGGAGCTGTATTACATTATACAGAGCTGTTTCACTTTCACTGATATAAATGGGGTGGACTAAATAATGGAAACACCTGGACGCCACGGTGAGTGTCCTTACTCATCAGTAGTTTTGTGTTGGCTTATCGGTTCCAAATATTGGTTATCGGTCTCCTTGATTACCGATAATCGGTATTGGTATCAACCCTGAAAAAACCATATTGGTCGATCCACAACTTAAAGATTATATATTTCACAGGTAGACGTATCGAATGTGGAACTTCAAACAATGTTCTTTTTACCAAATGAACCCACAGTGTAAAAATACACTTCTGATGCATAATGAAACTGTAAATGATCAGGTTTTAGATTAACGACTATGTGGAGTACGTACTTGCTCCCAGACTTTCCTCCGATAACATAGACGAGACCTTTGTGTGATACAGTCCCGTGGCCATATACTTCATAAGGCAGAGGGTCCGATTCCCCCCATTTGAATGACCTGTGTACAAAAACACACAGCAAAGGCATTGAAATATATACATATAACATATTAGCAGTGGCTCTGCAGGTAATAAAGGTGATTCACATGATAATTCTAATATAATTAATGGAAATGCTCATGAATTAAGAAGCTACATTGAAGCCACATTCTCCAAGTATTCCCTTATCGGTATAGAAATCTTATGACAAATAAACCACATAAAAATCCATTGAATTTACCATAAATGCACTGTAACAATTGCTGTATCTATGGATGATATATGTAGTGCCTTTACTGTGACCATGAGAGTGATGGTTTTATACTATATACTTGCTTTGAATGGGCATTACTGACTGTTTGAATGCACTAAGGTGAAAGTAGACTGTCAGTATTAAAGGTCCATATTAAGTTTAGTGTCTGTACTTACTGTCTGTCGTAGATCATGACTGAATCCAGGGCGTGCTCGCCTTCCTTCAGTTCCTTCCCTCCCACAACAAAGATGGAGTTCTCGACGTCTGCCAGCCCAAACAGACAGCGAGGGGTGGGCTGTGCGGGCATCCCTAACCACTCTGAGCTGACTGGGTCAAACTGGAGATGAAGAACATGACACGTGAGTAAAAATAAAAACAAGAAATCTGCATTTTGTACATCCATTTTAAACTGGGTTTTTACAGGATTTCTAAGAAGAAATTATAAGAAAAGCAATTTGTTGTCTAATCACACAGAGCTAATGGTGGTCTTCGTGGTACCTGTAGGAAGTAGGAACTGAATGGCTCGTCTTTATCCTCCTCGTTGTAGAGAAGTCCTCCGACAACAAACACCTGGTTCTGCTTGGTGACCAGGCTGCAGTGGTTTTTGGGAATTTCTGTGGATTCTGACACCACAAAGCATTCGTTTCCTGCTGGCTCGTAGGCCACAGTCCCCGTGTCACTGATCATAAGTATCAGGTCCATCTCAAACATCCCAAAGCGCGGGTTGTTGTTGAGTATACCCGGCAGGTACAATTCCTCATCATCATCCTCCTCGTCTTCACTTCCTTCGCCTCCCTTTGCCCCGTCGCTGCTGGGCTTCTTGGGCTTTGGGAGACGCCCTCTGTGAGCATCCTTGACGAGTTCCAGCTCCTTCTTGAGCTCCTGGCTGAACCGGATGTACTGGTGCCGCTCCACTTTTTCTTTGAAGTAATCCAAAGGTATCAGCCTAAAGCGGATGCAGTGCAAAAGTTCTGGCAGGTCCTTAACCCGGTTTTTCTCGTCATGTCTGACCCAGTCCATCAGGGATTCAAACACCAACTGCTCCTGCTCAACATTGAGGGAATCTGACGTGATGATAATGGCCAGCTCACTTGGGCCCAGCTGCAGGAAGTCCTGGTCCCTGACAACAACCTGGTAGCGTTCGCAGATGAACTCTCTAGCAGCCAGCGTGAGCCTGGGACAATCCAGCAGCAGCCCGAGTCTGAAGATAGCCAGGCAGTTTCCCAGCACCAGCTTCTCTTGGAGGTAGGACACGCACACGGAGAAGATGGAGGGGATCTGGTACATGTTAGCAACCATGAAGATATCCTGGACGTTCTGCTCCGTCAGATTAATTTCAGAGGTGTATAAGTAGCGCAGGATCATCCCCATAACACTTGGATCCACATCTTTGAGGACAATCTCACGCCTCTTGCTCTCTTCCAGGTCAGACAGGAACATGGCCTTGAAGAAAGGACTGCTGGCTGCCAGAACCAAGCGGTGACATGGGAACTCCTTGTCCTGGATTTTAAGGACGCAATCCACAAACTTGTCATTCTCCAACAGGTCGCACAGTCCGTCCTGAAGGAGGGTCTGTTGGTACATCCGAGGCTGCTCCACCGGGTCTATAGTCAGGGCAGCCATTTTGTTCTGTCGCCTGGTCCTGGTTGGGTTTGGTGGGCACCCTACTTACTCCCCACGACAGAGCAGGACTGTCAGCCTCTCACAGGGCTGCTCAGATGGCTGTGGATCGTCTCCACGGGTTGGTCGGCTGCTGGCTGCAGCTGTCTGTGACTGTCAGTCACTCTGTAAGTCACGGGTATTTATAGACAGGACCCTCACAAAGCTGAGGAATCCATTTTGGTGGACAGGAAACAGGACCTATCCACTCCTGCACCACACAGACCCCCACAAACAGCTGAGTGACTAGGCGCGGGGGTGACGGCATGTTCAGTCCAGTAGAACAACTCACCAGGCAGCATGACTGGATCTCATTACTTTGATATTATGACACACTTTTATCAAGTTGTTTTTTCTATGTAATCTAACACTGGCTTGACCCGTGTCTCTGCTGGTGTGTGGACATCAGTAGTGGTGCAGTGTGTGCTGCACACTGTATAGGCAACAGTGGTTCTAGGGAGACCAGCATGTTACATAATAGACCTCCCCTGATATACATATTTACATCCTCTGGATATATGAATACCTATTGTAAAATTTGTATTTATTAAAAATATATAAATGATGGATTTTGTTGTGACCAAATATGTTAACGATATATATTTATTTATATATATATGCAAGTTTATTAAAACAACACACATATATGTTTTTCTTATTAATTAAGTCTTCCCATTCTGGGGAAGTGGTCTCAGACTTTGGACCCTACTCTATAAAACATCAACATATATTGACAGGCTTTGGGATCGATATATATTTATATATTTATTATATATGTATATGTAACATGTGTCTATAATATAAGCATACATACATAAACATACATTTTTGTATGGGCTAGACGTGAATATATGAAATTGTGTTTTTTATATAATTTTTTATGTGTTTTTATTTTATATGTATATATATTTCATACATGGGAAATTCAATATATGTGGATATATTACATTTGTTTATCAGTTAGAAAAGAAGAAACCTTCCTCAGGTTAAATAACAGAAGTATATGCAGTATATAATGTATACAGTATATACACCACATCACTTGGCACATGTTCCCAATTATTAATGAACATTACATTAATCGTTCCTTCTATATCAGGTCACCACAGTGGTCCCCGCATGTTTAAAAAGCACATAATGCATGTAATGTAAAGTATGTAATGTAAAGGCAAAGTAAATAATTCAACATTGACTCATAAATGGAATCATTATACTAGATAGATCAAATATGACTGACATACTAAATGCATCTAGAACAGTCTGATACATAACTTGTAGCCTACTCATAGATCCAGAGATAAACTAACACTGGCACCTTCTGGCTGAAAATGGCAAGTGTCACTGAGTGTGTAAGGTGACAAACCACAGACGTATTATAAAAGGAGGGAGGGATGACTGAAGAGAAACTTTGGGGAAAGTTTTTATCCCTCATCTGAAATGAAAATGAAAACCAAACTGATTATCTGACATGAAGGAGTGAAGGAAACTCATTTGTGGAAGATTAAATCTTCTCCTTCCATCATGCACACAGGGAATATTGTAAAGTAAAAGGTTCATTTAATTTAAATAGATGTCCCTGCTCCTTGGTTTATTTTTGAGGGATGTGATGAGGCCAGTCAAAACAGGGACATGTCAAATTGTAAATTATTATCTGCCTATGGGATGTTGGGCCTTAAATGTCTTTTTTAATATCTTAAAGTAGTGGCATGGGTAGATAGCAGTCATTGATCAGTTTTAGTCAAACTGGGCCATCTTGTGGCGACAGATGACGATGTCTCACCACAAGACGGATCGACAGTCATAATTAACTGCATCCAACAAATAGATTTCCATCTATTTAAACAAAATGAAATTGTTAAATGTTTTAAAGGAGACCACGTTTAACCTTGAAAGCAAACAACAATACACAGATTTTAATTTCCTCCACACAACAACAAAACAAACTCATAGGAGACGCGACACTTCCGGATTAAAAACAAAACTTTATTTCAAGTCAAATTTTTTGAATTAAACAGTTTTGAATAAAAACCCTTCAGTGAGAAAAGGCATTAAAACCTGCACAAACTTATTCCTGACTATCTGCTGCAGTGAAGACACACAGCAGGCTTTGCTTTAGTGACAGGCAGGATGTGACTGACCCATTTTCCCTGCTGGGCCTGTTGCCTTTCATAGCGAACTGAGGACCTGGATCGTGAGAGAGAGAGAGAGAAAGAGAGAGAGCGAGAGGAGAAAGATATCCTGAAATGTCACACCTACTGTAATCTCCTGTGGACGGATGGTAGTGGAGTTAGCTCTCATTCTCCAGATAGCTGAACTACATTCAGTTTTCAACACTATGAGAGATTGAATACATTCTCAGTCAACATTATAATAGACTATCCTATACATCCTGACTTGTATTTGACATAGGAGCAAATATACTTTAAAATTAGCTGCGAGCAACGTGCAGCAACCTCAGCACCCTTTCTTTATTTGCTTCATTGCACTTCATTCGTGACACCCTTATTTCAAGTTTTCTCAAGTTTTTAACCCTTTCAGTGTGGTTAGATATGATTAGAATGAAAGACACCTAAAGTAAAATTGAGACACCGTCTGACTAAAAATAATCATGTTGATTATTTTTTTAAAAAGAAAGAAAGTCCAAATTTGAGAAAAGTCAAAAAATGGACAAGAGACAACTACACAGAGCACAGTAGTGTTTCCTTTACTGTATGTCCTTGTATATACTATTCAGTATAGTGTCCTAAAATGTTCGGCAGGCCTATAATTTGCTAAACAATCTTGTGTTCGGATAAAATACAAAATGCACCATCGGTGGGTTTGTGCCAGAGGACGTGGCGATTATCTACAGCAAGTGCACTTGAGGATATTTCACAGTTCAAAACATTGCCTCGCTTCTGACAAACAAAAGCAAACAAAAAAAACACGGGCTTCTGAACAATGCAGGTGCTGACTGGCTGTTACAGTCTGTTTCAGTTACAGTTCGCAAGGCCAAGGATGGAACAATGTGAGGGGGCTGTCGGCCATGAAGTCTGTGTAACTCTTGTGTTTTTTTTTTTTGTTTTTTTTTTTGTCTGTTTATTCAGCTTTTTCTTTGCCGCCATCGACCGGCTTCAGCGGCTCCGGGTCGTCCAGCAGAGCTTGTTGTCGCTCCCTCTCCTTCACCAGCTGCACACCACAGTAGGTCACAAGCAACACAGAGAGGGTGGACAGAGGGAAACCTGGAAGATAAAAGACAAGAGGAGGGAAAGACGGAGGAAATGGAGAGGAGAAGCGAGAAGAGATCAGAAGTGAAAGGTATGACTGTAAAGGAATGCAGCTGTCTTTGTGCTGCGCTGTGAGTAGATGTTCAGCTGCAGATAATCCTGTGAATAACCTCTCTGATTCCCAATGCTCGGCTGTAAAGAGTCTTTCCTTCTATTTGAAAGAAAGCAACAAAGACGATGCTAAAGTCATGTGATCTGCGGAGGATGGTGCCCCTTGAGATTCTGCTGCTTTTGATGTCTGTCTGAGTTGTTCCCGCTTTGACTGGAAGTGACAGGAAAGCCTTTACTTTATGTAATATACCCTTGTTGTTCCCCACCTTTGAAAATCAGCCTCCTGCCCACAAGTTTGGCAAACTCCAAACTGTTGAGGGAGAGAACGTTGTAGAGGATGATGGCCCAGAAGTTGGCAGCGTTGAACACGCCACGGATCCTGCGCGACATAGCTTCACCCATAACACCCTAGAAACAGAGCACACAGGAACACACTCAGGGATCGGGTATAAAATGAAATCTACCATGTGTCTACTTGTTTCCTGCTTGAATATCCATTTGAAAACGATTCAGTTTATCGTGTCCCTCACCTCAATGGTAGAAAACGGTGGAAAGGAGAATAACTTGGCCACCCACAGCTCAAAGTTGAGGCCAAAGCAGTTGAAAAAGGACCAGATGTAAACCAGTTCACACGGACCCAGCCACAAGGTGGTGATAGCGAAGGTGCATATGGTTGCCAAGAGTTCTTTGAAGATTTTATCATGATCCCCGCCGATGTAGTCATAAACATACCTGCGATATTACAACTCACATTTAATGCAACGAAGACTCTAAATCATCTTTTAAATGATGGGTTCTGTCATTTAAACTCACACATGTCAATTTAAACACTCACTTGCACAGCCAGTCATTGATGCCTCTGTCAAAGTGCCTGAAAAAAGACAGAAATGTTCCACGTAAATATTTTCACACATTGTTTAACAAGGTCGACAAAGAAACTACACACTGATTCATGAGGATCGCACACAACTAGTGCAGGTCACACGTACGTCTCAGCGAAGACATAGAGCATGGTGATACACTTGGGGGGCTGAGGAGGGTCCAGGTGGTCCAGTGTAGCCACAGTGTTGATGACGCCAAACATCACGGCTGCTTTCACCCAGTCGTACACCAGGTTGGAATAAGCCAGGCCAGCTGCAAAGGCACATGTGGAGGCCAGGCAAGTTTACCTATCAAGTTCTAATGGTGGTAGAATTTCATGTTTTATAAAGCACATACTGTACAATTACACAGAAAGCAGAGTAAAAGTGATGCATGGAGTGAATATTATGTGCAATATGCAATTTTATTTATCTATTTATATCTTTTAATATCTATAATATCCAAAAAAAAGTGAAAAATACAAGCGTCAGTACCAGCTGTACCAGACCCGTTAGTATTACCCATAACTCACCCAGACACCAGTCAGACAGCTTGGTGACCAGCTTCATGTCACTGGGGATTGTCAAGATGTAAAGATAGTGGAAGAAGACGTCCACCACCATAATAACTCCCAGGTGCAACAAAGCCTTGGTGGTGATGTTCCACATCTCCCTCTCTTTGCGGGTCAGCTTGGTGTTGTTCGCCTGTGGAATGAAAAACGTGAACAAGCCATTTTTGTTTTGCAGAATTATAGGACCATAGTAATCATAGTTATTTATTATAGTTGGAGCGATATTCTCCAGTAACTGACGTATGCAAAATGATATTCTTGAAGTATTAACAGCAGCAGTAACTAGTAATAATACTTATTTTTAACCAGGTGAAATGATTTAAAATGGGCATTGACACTAGTTTAATAGATTGTGCTCATAACATTTTTATCTTCATTTGTTTTCATATGCAGTGAGACAGAATCGTTTTCATTCTCTGTCCATGACTTTCAACTTGAGTTACATAAACACATCAGCATCTTGCATATTTGCATCAGCTGCCCTACAAAGACGCTGCATGTGGGTGTTACAGCAGCTTTATCTCACAATGTTCAATCATGAGTGATGGTTTTATAACTACTGGCAAATCTGCTCGCTTTTCACTTTCACATATGTGTCCTCGCCCCACACTTAGTTTAATGTTAAAATCCTCACCTGGGCATGATACTGGTCGAAGGTCATGATAGGTCCAAAGAAGAAGAAGGGGAGGTAGAAGTTGTATTTCAGCAGGTCAGAGAATGTGTAGTTGCCGTCCTTCTTTTCACAGTTCTCTAAAGCGAAGCTCATGCAGCGCATGATGCTGAAGCCGCAGCCTCCGTAGAACAGGATGTCTTGCAGGTCGAAGGAGCCGGTCACCAAGGTTTCCTGAAAGGAGGAGTCGGATTTATTCTGAGCCTCAAACATTTTCATATGGACAACACCTCAGATTAGACAGTATTGAAACAAGAACATTAACACAAAAACACCTCGTTCTCAATTATATATTACTATTACTATCACAATAGGACTAATAGAAGATCAGTAGGAACCTATCTAACATCTGATAATATTGAATTATATTCATTTATATTTCATAGTATTGTATTATTACTGTACAGTGTGTAATTACTGCACATATTATATAAAACACCACACTAAAATATTTTTATGTATATTGTATTTATTATTCAAACTTACACATACATATCCATATTTATATGATGTATAGGAGACACATCGAGGCTTATTTATATAAGGATTATTTTGTCTTATGCACAAATATTTACTAATGTATTTATATAGTCTAAGGTATTGTTGTGTATATAGCTTTTAATGTAATCTCTGTTTTCTTTAACTTAAAATTTTATTTTTATTGATTTTATTCAAATAGGTCTTTATCTGTTCTCTTTCCTCTCTGCGCGTCTCGTGTTGTTGTAACGTGATTTTCCCTGTGGCTCATTCTTATCACCTTCATGCTCTCTAATGTCTTTGTTTACCAAGATTTAATCATTAGGATCTCTATGTAATTTTTCTACAATTCAGACTGTCACTGAAAGCGACTCTGAACAATCCTTTGCACCACACTGCATTGTCCTTTTCTTCCTGTAGAAGCCATACAACACCTTCTGCTCTTTCAATATGCAGGAAATTAAATCATATCACTTCAGCTCTCTGACATTTCCACTGGCTACCTTTTTCATTAAGATCCTTCTTCTGGTCTATAAAGTTCACAAGATGAACATCTCCTTCAAACTTCTGCCGCTCATTCTAAATCAAGCGACTGGGATTTCTGTGGAGCAGCCTTACTGCTGATCTGAGGTGTGAACCTGGAACCACCCACTCACCTGCCAGGAGTTATAGGGTTCCAGCTTGATGGAGGCCAGTGTGGCGAGACCAGCTGCAAAGCACATCCACTTCATCTTGACCAGTGCAACACTGTAGAGTATGATGCAGTGAGACAGAATCAGAGCCACGAAGGTCCAGCCCATCGTCACCAGGACGGCCAAACCACCGTACACACCAAAGATCAAGGATCTGTGCTGTGGGTAAAGAGGGGCCAGCATCAGTGTGATGCAATGACAACAGTTTCGTACAACTCATAATTTAATGCAGCACACACGGAGAGTGGTGTTAGTACAATTACACTGTTGTGTCGACAACAATGAATATACTTTGGGATGGAAAGATTAAGTTGTGAGGGGAAAAAAACGAACACACTGTCCAGACATCAAATGGTTTAAATGAAACACATGACAAACGTTATGAAATTCACACGTTTATTAATGTTACCTTACATCCATCTATACCAATCTTCAGTGTAAGCATGAAACAAGATAGAAAACATGTTTAAAACATATTGAACTGTTTTAAATATGTCAAAATATTCACAGGAAATAATCATGGGTATAATCAACATACACCATCACAGTCTAACAGATGCAGCTCGTGCTCATGCATCAGGTTAATCATGTGTTAGACCTTGAGGTACAAATATTACAAAATATTTTTATTTAGTAGAATAGAATAGAGAATAGAGAGTGGCATATTGTTCACATCCAAGGTAGCTTTGAGTTTCATGTGTTTATAGCACATCTCAAATTAAATCTGGTGTTTAGCCTTGATATGTGCAAACACACGTGTACAAACACACACACATATATATATACATATATACATATATATAAAAGAGACATGCAGTTATACCTGTATGAAGGCAGAATACAGTGCTATGTCATGGATGTTCACACTACACCACACACATGCACGCACCTTTGGAGCTACCAGGGTGAATATCTTGGCAAAGATCACGTGACCGGTGAGAGCAAAAAGGATATGATTGCGGAATGTAGAGAACCACATCATCCATTCGAAGTCGGCAACATCCTGCGGAAAAGGACGCTGCATCACTAACACGTGGCAACCGCTCTCTTTTGACATTTTGCATCAGTTCATCCAATTACAGAACACAATGTGATACATATAAGGGTTATATATGAAACTATATAGATATATATATAGGCTATATGTGTATATATATATATATATGTAACTTACCATTTTCCTGCCAAAGTAATGCCATCCTGGTTTCACACTTTCTTTGAAGGCCTTCCTGTTTACATTCTCTGAATAAAGGAGGAAAAATAAAGGATTATGTAAGGGGGCATTAGAAATAGTGTTTAATGAATAAAGTATTAAGATTTCAACCTACAGTGAAGCTTCTAGGATGAGGAGTGCTGAGGAGAGTTATTTTGGGGTTCTATGTATACACTGAACATTTTAAAAATAATCTTCCAGAGAAAAAGGTCCTGTAGGTTTCAAAATTTGAACAGCTTTGGTGCAATTGTTGGATTATTCATAGTGAATTTAAGGTGTGAGAGCACACTGAGTACATTTGATAATATCAAATCTTACATAATGCCCTCATTGCGAAGCTTTCTATTTTTGAATCTGACATCTTCCTTCGTACGGTCATAATCTGGTTGTGGGAGATTAATTCGCCGCACAACCTGAACGAAACTCCGTCACAGAAATTATTGAAATTACAATAAGAGGAAAAAATAAGCGTGATAATAATCAGAATTGTGGCAATGCTGTTGAAACATTCAGTACACAGAAACAAATGTGATTGGCACGCGCCCCCACAGCAGCTCCGCCAGCTTTGCCTGATTACACTAATGGCCATGAAAAAGGATATCAAAATGTGAGGGTCAGTCAGGGAAAGCCTCTTATGTCTGGGAACACAGCCAGACTTGTATTGCCAGTATACAGTGCTGCTGTAGCGTGCAGACCTGTGCAGTGTGAATACCCACAGACAGAGCAGCCGTAAATGACCATTTCAAGACACAGAGTGTAAATACTTGTAAGAATCGGGACAAAATGATGAATGGCATGACTCTGCCCTGGCCGATCTGACAGCACAGACTGTGGCAGACTGTACCGTTCACCAGATTACACTGAGTCCATTCAGATCCGTGTGTGAGGAGGCTAGTTTTAGCATTTTAGAGTCTGAATGCATGCAAATATTTGGTATTATTTCAGGATAAAGGGTTTGGGGATTAGTTGTCTCAGTGTAACTGATTCTTAAACTAAAATATCTCCATCAGGAAAATAATTAGAAAGTAACTGGACCATCTTAAAATTGTCTTCATATTAATAGGAACCTGCAGGAATTCCTCAGGGGAGAAGGCTCCCTGTTAATCTGCTGAATGGACTTAGTTCCCCAAAGCTTTAGGGCAACTAGAGCAGTGTTTTAAGACGGGATCTCATTATTTAGATGCAGATTTTAATAATAAATTCACATTGTTACACGTAAGTGATTATATTGAATTAAAAGTGTTGACTGGAGTGTGTTTTTTTCTACTTGTAAAGTCGGTTCAGCTCTGGAGCAACTCCTAAAAGTGTCCATTCGCTGTTTCTTCAATAGATATGAATGGATTTCAGTGAACTTCACTAAACCTCCTACATTGTGTTATTGATTTTTTTTGAGTTAGTCTGCATCGACAGTGTGTATCTGCTTTGGACATCTCTTGACACGTCATGCACTCACCACTTGAAGCTTCAAATATCCAACTGCCTGCCCATATCAAGGCCACGGCGAGTACAGCTGTGTAGAGATACAGCTCATATCTGGGGAGGGCAGCCTTGATCCCCATGGTGAATCAGTACACAGGGAGCCTAACGGGTTGAAAAGCAATCAGCCACACAATATTAGACCTGACTGAAGGCAAACAGTATGAGCATGAATGGAAATAGACAGATTAAAAGCTGGTAACAGAACATTTAAAAAAAAATATGCGCAGGGAGTTTAACAAGGTTTATTGAACCAGTGTTTATTCTGAAGGGAAATGTTAAGTTTCAGTTAGGCCTGAGGCATCAGTATGAAAGCATGTATGTTGTTTTATACTGACTCTGAGGGTTAACAATTAAAAATGTGTCTAATAAGAAGACAGAACACAAAAGGTTTTGAATATATTGACAGTTGATTGTTCAGTTTAGTCATCAGCACAGTTCATACCACCATTACCTTGACAATGATTAACTATTTACATTATAGCCCAGTGGAAAAACAGCCTAGTGCCTTTATTTAAAAAAAAAAAAAAAACATTAAGGTGAATAAATGTGATGCTCTTTGTGCCAACACACATCAACACAGGTTCTTCATGTCAGATACAGACCAAGGTGTTTTAAAGAGGCGACATTTTACTAATAAGCCTTTAAGATCGACAGGCCGGTGACTTAAATAGGACTGCAGAGCTCTGGCTCCTCGGAATCAGCACCGTCAGCTGCGCAACCCTACCTCTCCTTCCTATTATAGCTCTTGCAGTTGGTCTGCTGTACAGCGGGGCAGCTGCAGTGCTATGTGATCTGAGAGGCGCTGGGGACTCACCTCACAGAATAATTAGCACTGGCTGGAATGACCAAGAATGGTGCATCCGAGTAAGAAAACAAACAGTGTTACTTTCCCGTGGAGAGTAACACACTTGTGCCTAGTTGAGTGTGTGTGTGTGTGTGTGTGTGTGTGTGTGTGTGTGTGTGTGTGTGTGTGTGTGTGTGTATGTGTGTGTGTGTGTGTGTCAGACTCATGTCGCGCACTCTGGGTTGAAGTTAAAGGAGTTGGACTATCAAGTCTTTTCCATGCCAAGATGTAACCATGGCTGAGCAGGACTTCAGCAAAGCGTCCTGCATACAAATCCACTGCTCCATGAACATAGAGCCGAAAACACACAGGCCCTTTGCATCGATTTTTACTCTTATATTTAACCCTATGCACAAATGAAAGAGACTTGTTTTTACTAACCTTGTATCCGCTTCACACTGTCAAGAGGAGGGCAGCAGTGTTTAAAGCCCGACTCTTCAATACAGACAATAAATAAAAGAAAAGGGGGTGGTGGTGGTTACAGCAGGTTTTTCTAATTCATCCGTCTTGAGGGGGCTTGCCGCTGCCGCTGCCTGCGATCCCCAGCCTCGGCCAGTCAGGATGTTGCGGACTCAACGAAAGGAGGAGGAGGAGGAGGGGGATATATTTATCCTTCACTACTGCACCGCAGTGAGGGGTGGTCCACACCGAGCCCATCAGACCTTCCTGGAGCACAAACCCACTCGGAGACAACGGTTAATAATGAGGAGGAAAACAAGTGCATCAAATCAATATCAGAGTGAAACACCAGAGCCTCCCTCTGATGACTCTCCAGTCAAAACTATCATAGATTCAACTTGAAAATAAAATGGGTTAGGCATCAAATAATACACAATGTACTAAATGAAATATGACTTTGCTGCTGCAACCAAACTACCATTTTTTTTTATGTAGCCTACTATATATCTTTAATACTCTGTGATATCAGAATATGCTACCATCTTATGCAGACATCAATATATCTAAGATATTTGATCATTTTACATAATTTTTAATGTTTCCCATATTTGAGTTTATTAGAAGCAGCTCTGTGACAAAGTAGTATAGTAGACACCATCCACTCCAAAACTGCGAATGATGTGACTGAACATAAATGCAGGTGCTGTACTTTATTTTATCATTATAAATACAGATCATCCTTAAAGCAATTTCCTAATTTGAACACTAGGTGGCGCTCTCGACTTTTTTAGAAATTGTCCCCTAACCAACGGCGAAAGAACACGCACCAAGGGTTTTGGATTAACATAAAGTATTTGCTTGGATTGTTAAATGAGCCGTTGTCTGCTCGAGACCATGTCAAAGCTATAGATAGGCCCCGTCATATACAATTACATAAAGTGTATTATGTTTGAATGTATTCTTTTTATGCTAATAATAAAGAGCTATAATTTGTTGCGTGCGACCAACAGTAATTACAGAGCAAAAGCAGCTTGAGAAAGCCGCGTCCAGCCAGCTGCATGGGTTGAGCAATGTAGTGCGGCGAGTTTGTGCTGCCTGCCTGAGAGAATCCATCACAGAAACAAACCGCCCCCTCCCACTCCGAGTGCCCCCGCTTCAGATGCAACTCAAAATACATAAAGCCTCCATGTTGCACAGGGAATGTAGGGCCAGCAGATATGAACTGTTTGCCTAGAAGTGTTAGCTAACTTTAACGTTGAGCAACTCCGCGTTTGATGCATGTTTTTGGACAAGAACAATTCTCCGACGGGCTTCCCAGGGTTTTCAACGTTGTTCCAGACACGGCCTCACATTTTGGATGATCGGAGCTTCGTAGCTAACTCGCTAACCCAGGCTACTTGCTAACTTCAGCTAGTTAGCAATTCAGCGTCGGTTGTTTTTGTTTTTTTAAACCACACATGCTGTCGGTGTTGCCCACAAAATACTTGTTTGCAGCGATGATATTTTGCGGAGAGCCATAAATGACAGCCATTCACTGGCTTCCATTCACCACCGTGCTAGCTGGCTGGCTATCCCCGCTGCCCAAACACTTCGCCACGGACGGTTGCCTGGCTTTGTGGGCTAGCTGGTCATCCTCATTTTAAACAGCTAGCTAACAGTAGCTAGCTAACGAAGCAAGCGCGCTAGTACGAATAACATTGTGGGAAACAAAGCAGGAACAACCACCCGTCTAAATGGACCACATGTCCATAATAACCCAAGTTTCCAACCCGAAGGAGGAGGAAATAATATCTTTTAACCAGGAAAAAGGTAAGAAGAAGTCAGTTATAGGTAGAGAACTAATGCTAGCTAGCTAACTACTTTTCTCGACTGACGTTAGCAGTTAGCTCGCGCTTGCTAGCTGCTCTCGCAGTTGAAGACACCGGTTGCCTGTTGCCACTGTCGTATAAAACATGGAAATATGACTAGCATTAGTTAACCAACTCTTAGTAAGCAACAAGTTAATTAGAGGCCAGAATAAGTTATCGAACTAGCTTAACATTTGTTTACTGCGCCTTCAACATGAAGAGCGCTCCAGTCTCAAGACGTGTGGTTTTTACCCCGTTAACGTTTCTTGAATTAAAACGAACATAATTGTTGTCAAACAGTAGTCGTCGATACTAAACCATTTTCATGTCAAATCTTCGCTTTCCCAACATGTGTATTTAATGCTTGTGTTTGTTTTGTTTGGCTACGTAACTGTACTTAATTATTTGACAGGTGATTCACTTTATGAATCACGACCACAAGAAGCCAAAAAGTTGACCGTTGTTTGGTGTGAGGGCTTGTAAAGTGTTCTCAGGGGCAACGCAAGTATGCAGACAGAGGAGAGCTATATGCTTCCAGTATTGTGTGGCTATATAATGTCAAGTGAATCAACACGGACTTTTGCTTTAGACGCGAATCTTTGATGTGGCAAAGCTATCACGACTTTGATCATTTTGTAGGATGGAGAGATTTACAGTGAAATTAGTTCATCAGCTTTTGCCTTTGTTGTATACAGTGCAACTGCCCTCTGTCAGATGAAGACTGTTTGATGATTATGTGTCTTGTGGATTATCAAGTGAAATTAACTACCAGTTTACAGTTTTTTATCACCACCAGAAATCGATTGCTACCTCTGGTACAATCATTATTTTGAGTTTCAGTTCATAATCATCACCATTATATGGGAATCTCAGGGTCAGATTTAAGTGTGTGCCTTCATTTTCACTTGTACTCCATCTGTCATTGCTCCCTATTTATTTCCCCACTCACACTTAAGCATGATCCTCAGTGGAGGTCAAATCTATTCTTCCAAGACCATAGCAGCTAATATTCATTCAATCCCATTCCTCTGGCTGCTCTGACGCTTTCCGGGTCACCCAGGCCCATGGGATGTGTATCAGTATCACATCTCAAACCTCACTTGTCAGTCCATTAGTAATGTGAGAACTTAAGTCTTTCAAGCATAACAATGCATTCTCCTCTGAGGGTGGTAAAGTATCCCTCATCAAGTACTATAGATTCTGTGTGACTTGAACATATGTGGGCGTCACGGGAGATTATCATTGCAGGTATGTGGGAGTTATGGGAGGGTATCATTGCAGTGTATGGCAGTAGAAATATGCAGATTCCACAGTAGCCATACACACTTTACTAACACCTTGGTTTGTTTCAGTAAAAATATTATCAATGTCTTGAAAGGTATTTTTCAAAGGCTTGTTTGTATTCTATAAACCATAATTTGGCGCTTTGGTGTTTGTGTTATTGTGCTGGGGAAAAAGTGTAGTTTCAAAGTCATTTAGGGTCACTTGGTAAGAGTAGTGTTGAAATGTCTAGTCAATTTAGTGGTAAGTTCTCAGGAAAATTCCTGTGCTAATGATTCAAGTAACTTTCCCAGTACAAATACTAGATAGCGTGGGCTATGACTTCATGAAAGCAGAATTGTTTTTGCTTTCCTTTTTGTTTCTTTGTAAGTTAAATTTTTGGCCTTCAGTCTTTTCGCTGTTTGTCAGAGAAAGTCAGTAAATGTGAGGCATCATGTTGGGCTTGTGGTGTCTACAGTCTGTTTATAGTATAAATGGTGAATTGAAAAATGGACAAATTAATTGATAGTTTTATTCAGCAAGTAAATGTGTAGTGAAATGTTTGTATCATCTTGAGCTTAGGTTCTGTTGTCTAGTTAAATTGTCAAGTTATGTTACTGGGGTACCTGGTATTCATTTCACTCTGGTATTGTTTAATATGATCTTAAATTGTTTACCAACAGGACAATTAGAGTGGCACCACACACAGACACACAGAAGCTGCTGCATGAAAATAATGCCTATGTTTGTCTGTTGTGCAGGACAAAGTAGAGCAGTGATGCTGCTGTTTGATTCCTACCTCTTCCATTTTCTCTTAAGAATGAGTCATACAGAATTCTCCCCTTGGGTCTAATATTACCATCATTATATGAATTGTTTGGCTATGTTCTTTCTTCTATTTGTTCTTAACATTTAGAAAACAACAAAGTTTGAGTGTGATGGGCATAGTCGTGGGCTGTGATTATGACCAGGAATTTGAAAAGATCGTGTATTTATTTTGTATTTAACAATTTAACAGCTATAATATTTCAGCCTACTCTGTCTCAACAAGGCATGATTCCTAGCTTTATTATTTGGGTTTAATACACAGACTGTCTCTCATCTATTGCAAATCACATAGCATGTAGCCCATTCCAGCAGCTGTCCTAGAGGAATTTAACAGGTAGTCTTCTGTTGCTTGAACAGGCTCCAAACTGTCTGGACAAAAATTGACCACCTTTGCTCTCAGTGTTCCTTTACTGGCTGTCTTACGACATGTGCCTGCCTTTCACACTGGTTTGGCTGCCAAGCAGCAGCCTAAATATAGACTTGCTGCCCTGTTGGCCATGGCACCACTGACCTCGAGGCCAAGTATAACTACATGCGAAGATGACAATGATAATTTTCTTCATTCTTGCAGTCATACAAGGTTTTAGTTTGGAAAAAAATGAAAAACCATTCTAAATAAGATTGTTGTGGCTGTGGGCTTTGTCGGTCTACTTTCCTGTAGAAATTTTGGACGGTGTTGATAAAGGGTGGTTTCAACTATTTAAAGTCGCCACTCACTGAGACTGTTGCACTAGGACCTTAATGTATCTATGAGATGAATGGGTGCCTCTTACATGATCCATTTACCCTTTTGATAAATACTCTTCTTCAGTCATGGAATCCAAGACGTTCCTGAAGATTGATTTATGTGTGGTGGTATGCATTGACCACTGCAGTTGTTCAATGACCGTCACAGTTATTTCAACCAGACAGGTTTTGTCAGTATTTATTTATTTATTTACTTCTTAAACGTGTTAAGCATATACATTTTTAAAAAGTTCCGATCTACAATTTCACTTATTACCAAGGAAATGAGATGATAAAACATTGCTGGAATAATATACAATTCACTTATTTTGTCATTAAAAGGCTAGTTTCTCTTTTGATAAGTGGTTACCTGAATTCAGGTCAGCAGGGGCCTTTCTATGTGGAGTTTACATCTTCACCTTGTACATGTAGGTTAAGTCAATTGGTTATTAGTGTCCATACG